TAAAGATTTACAGCCTTGGAAACCCTGTACAGGGTCGCTATGAGTTGGAACCGACTCCACGGCACATAACATTGGTGGGTTAGTGGTAGAATGCTCACCTTCCATGCTGGAGACCTGGGTTCAACGCAGTCAAGGCATAGGCAGCTGCCACCCTCCTATCAGTGGAGGCTTGTGTTGTGTTATGATCCTGGATGGGTTTCGGCAGAGCTTCTAGACTAAGAAAGACTAGCAAGAAAGGCCTGGCAATTTTCATCCAAAAATCAGCCAGTGAAACCCGTATGGAGCACAAGGGTTCCATCTGTAACAGATCGTAGGAATGGTGTAGGACCAGGCAGCATTTTGTTCTCTTGTGTATGGGGGTCACCATGAGTGGGGGGGGGGCGCTACTTGACAGCAACTAGTAGCACTAGCTCTGGTAGCGTAGTGGTTACGAATCGGGCTGCGAACCTCAGAGTCAGCAGTTCGAAACTACCAGCTGCTCCGTGGGAGAAAGATGAGGCTTTCTGCCCCTGTAAAAATTTACAGCCTCGGAAACCCTGTACAGGGTCGCTATGAGTCGGAACCGACTCCACAGCACATAACAACAGGTAGCATTACTTTTTTTTGTAATCAATGGTTTTTATCTTTGAAAATGGAAGCAGGTGTTTTGACAGAATAAGGAGGGTTGCTCTATGAGAGCCGATAGCACTACTTCTTGAGTGCTGAGTGCTGAGGTGGTCCAGAAGGTGCCAGGAGAGAGGCACTGGGGGGCTCAGGCCAGAGGCTTTCGGGACAACGTTGCAGCCTGGTGTGGCCATAGCTGGACACACAGCCAGGCCCTAGCCCTGCCCCAGCTCCTTCCTTGGGTGCCTGTTCCATTCCCAGCCCCTGGATAGGTGTCTCCTGTCCTCCAGATGCCCCTTGCCTACTCCATCCACATGGGGGGACCACGGAGACCACCCTGAGTGGAGGTACTTCCTCTGCCCCAACAGGCAACTCCAATCTGGTCTATGCCATCATCCGAAAACGCAGTGTCTTCCACCAGCTGGCCAACCTGCCCACAGACCTGCCCACCATCCACAAGGCACTGCAGCGGCGCCGGCGGGTACCTGAGCCCTTGTCCCGCACTGGCTCACAGGAGGGGGCCTCCATGGAGGGTTCCCGGCCTGCTGCCCCCGCTGAGCCCGGCACCCTCAAGACAAGCTTGGTGGCCACCCCAGGTCTGGCATTGGTGGGAGGCGGGGAGCTTGGCTACTGGCATGGTTGGGATGGGGTGGAGGTACTGGGGGGCCCAGATAGTGGGTAGGCCCAGGGGGAGAGATTGGGCTTTGGGCCTGTGTGGGTGGGGTGGGCACAGTGCCTTTTAAGAGGCTGGTAGAAAGTAAGCCTCCAAGAGGAAGTCTGTAGGGGGCGCTGTGGAGGCCACCTCACTTCCACCTGCACCCTCCCAGGCATTGACAAACTGACAGAAAAGTCCCAGGTATCAGAGGATGGCACCTTGCGGTCCCTGGAGCCGGAGTCCCAGCAGGGCTCAGCCGATGATGGCCCAGCCCCAGGGGTGGGCGATGGAGAGTCCTGGAGCATGGTAAACTGACTTCCCCTTTCTCCTGGGAGTGAAGAAGCCAGCACCTAATGCCAGGGCACCAGGGTTGGCACTCCCCAAGCTCCCTTTCTGGGGGTGGGAACTTTGACAGCCCCCTCCCTTGTTTCCTGGGCTCAAGTCCTTGGCCTTTAGATTCGTCATCCATCAACTTTATCTGCAGCTGGCCTTTACCCAGCCTGCCCTGTCAGCCCCTGGTCCTAAACCTGTCACGGGCTGGCAGGAGCTGGAGTCCAGGGCAAAGGGTGCTGGGCTGGGCCTGGGCCTCAGTTGGGAGTGAGTTCCCGGATCCCCCTCCTGCCCCATGATCTTCCTGTGTTCCTGATGGTGGGAGAGACTGCAGAGGGGGTGCTCCCCTCCCCCCACCCGACTTCCCATCCCTCCACCTTACACTCTGTTCCTTCACAGACCCAGGAGTCTGGCCAGGCATGGCGAGAACAGCGGCAGACATCCAGTGTGTCCACCAGTGGACAGTGGAGCCCAACATCGGAGTGGGTGAGGGGCCACACTGAAGCAGCTGGGGTCAGGGCTGTCTGGTTCCCACATTGGTCCTCAGATTGGGATGGGGACATGTCTAAGTCATAGTTTCTGTCACGGGAGTGGGGTGCTAGGGTCAGTCCTTCCAGTAAGGAGACCTTGGCCTCTGTCTGCTTCACTGTCCACAGTTTCCCACAGTTCCAGTAGAGCAAAGCTCCAATTGCCCAGAGTGTGAATTTGTTCATGGCTGACTTCCTTTCCCGGGTGACTTTCCCACGCCCTTGGTCCCTGAATTCACCACTAATTGCAGTGAGTGGAGTTAGAACAAGTCCCCACCAGCCATCACACTGTGAAGGCTTAGCAGGAGGCACGAGAAAGACCTAGAGTCTGGTTCTGACCCCAGCTCACTGCTGTTAGGGAGCAGGTTCTTGCAGCCGGGAGCTTTCTGCCCCAGGCCTGGTTCAGGACTATCCTAACTGCTGAGCTCCCTTCCCTTGGCCAGGTGCTCTCCTGGAAGTCCAAGCTGCCTCTGCAGACCATCATGAGGTTACTGCAGGTGCTGGTGCCCCAGGTGGAGAAGATCTGCATTGATAAGTGAGGCTGGGCTGGGGGGGCGTGGTGGGTGTGTGATGTCCATGCTCCTGAAGGCCGCAGCCCGAGGGACCCCACCCCATCTGTCTGTCCGCCCCTCCCTGCAGGGGCCTGACGGATGAGTCCGAGATCCTACGGTTCCTGCAGCATGGGACCCTGGTGGGGCTGCTCCCTGTGCCCCACCCCATCCTCATCCGAAAGTATCAGGCCAACTCGGGCACCGCTATGTGGTTCCGCACCTACATGTGGGGCGTCATCTATCTGAGGTGGGCCTGCTCATATCAAGACAGTGGCTCAAAGTGGTCCTGACTGGTTGTGTGTGTGTGGGGGGCAGGTTGGGATATAGGGCTTGTATGGGGTCTGGCTCTTTTGGTGACAGCCCCTCTTTCCCCAGGAATGTGGACCCACCTGTTTGGTATGACACCAATGTGAAGCTGTTCGAGATCCAGCGGGTGTGAAGATTGGGGGCCGGGGCTCAGGCCCTCCCTGTGCTCCCCTCTCCAACTCTTCTTAGCTTTAAATGTTCACCATCAGGGTTGGGGGCAGGCCCCAGGGAACCCCTCAAGGCTGGGGAAAGGTGGGGACTGGCCCTATGCCTCTAGGCTGATCTCACAGGAGCCCCTGCCTCCAGGCCTGCAGGTCTGTGCCCCGTCACTCTTCCTCCTCCTAAACCCCTCAGTGCAGCCCGCCCCAGAGGCCATGAGGTCACTGTGCCCTAGGGGGTTGCCTGACAAGGGGCCTCGGGCTGTTCCTTGAGACCCCTCGGCCAGGCAAGGGAACTCCGAGCCTCAAACATGATCCCTGTTCATCAGGCCTGGCTCTCTGCCAGGAGGTAGCCAAAACCAGACTTGGAGACCCCATGGATCTTAGGGTTTTAGAGTTGGGTATAGAGGGCCCCTGCTGTATTATCCAGGGTTAGTGGATGTAGCTGGGATCTGATTACTCAGTCATGGGGTCGGGGGACAGGGTTGGAGTGGGGTGGGGTGCAGGGCAGCCGGCTAGCCCTCCTCTCCCATCCCACTGCCGTGGCTGGCTGGGAGGAGGGACCCTGGCTCTGGCCTTTGGTCTCTGCCTCGCCTGTGTTAGTACAATCTTTGCTCTGTACAATCGTCCTCTCGACACAGTAAAGTCTCCCTCTCCACTGGCTGTCCCTCTTGTGCCCACTTGTCACAGGCCGGTGATAGACATTTGCCATTTTCTTGGGTGGGAAGCAGAGGATTGGATCCTGGACTGTGGCCACCCAGAGCAAACCCCACCTCTGGGAGAAGAGAGGGACCTGCAGCCCCCCCATAGCTCACAGCTGTCACCGAGACAGTGTTGGGGGCCTGGGCAGTGCCCCTGTGCGTGTGGTGCCTAACACCCCTCCTGGGGGGAGGGGAGGGCGGGCCGGGAAAGGGCGAGCCTCACCTCTAGTACCTGGGCTGCCCTGCCCGGCCTTGCCTGGGCTCAGCCCTGTTTGCACTGGGCTCAGGAAGATGGACAGGCTGTCGGCATGCCTTGCCTCCCTTCCTGCCCCACCCTGTGGCCCAGGGGATTGGGCAAGCCTGGGGACTCAGCAGCAGAGAGCCAGCTTCAGAGAGGTGCCACCAAAGGATAGTCCCAGGGAGCGCCTGTGATGACGAGGGGTGGGGGGACTCAAGACCCCATGGATCCAACAAGGCAAGGGGAGGCCTGGGCATGGGACTGTCACAGCCACACCGCCCTGACTTCCTCCCATACCAGGACCAGTAGCTCTGTCCCTGGGAACAAATGCCACAAAGCCGAGTGTAATCGATCAAACAAACAGGTTTTATGGCAGCAGGAGAGAGCTATTGAACCCTGCCCAGCAGCTAATTAATGAGCTCATTAGGAGTCAAGGTGTGCAGGGGGAGAGGGCGGGGCAGCTGCTGTCCAGGATGTCCGAGGCCACCAGCCCCTCCCCCAGCAGTAAGCAGACTCTGAGGCCCCACAGTGGAGGGGTACCCCTCTCCAAACTCCCCAGAGGGCAGCTGTGAGCCCTCCACCAGCCTCCTGGGGTGAGGCAGGCGGCAAGCCTTTGCCAGTCCTAAGCCTGGGCATCAGGGTCTAGGCCCTGCCCATGATCTTGGGGCCACAGACAATGCCCTCTGAACTCAGCAAGACTCTGGGGCACCCAGAGTGATCTCTGTCCCTCCTTGGCTCAGAGATTCAGGGCCATCTGACTGGGGTCTTCAAGCTCTGCTGGGGTAGGGTTCTTGGGCCATCTTAGGCCCCCAAGTAGAGCTCCACCAGTCCCCCAACAGAGTGCATGCGGTAGAAGACCCCTAGAGGGAGGCCAAAGTTGACGATGGTGAACCATGCCTGGTAGCCATAGAAATCCTTTTCCAGCCCATTCTCAAACTCGGGGTGCATGCCAAACGCCGGCATCATCCACAGCTGTGAAGGAGAAGGAGGGTGTCAGGTGAGGAGGAGCTCCCCTGTGCCCATTCCTGCTCTGGGCTCAGGGGATGCAGGCCCCAGAACCAGCAGGTATGCCAGCACACCTCCACCTACCACCTATGAGCCCCTGAAAGGGTGAGCTCCTCTCCCCATACCTCCCCTTCACCCAGTGCACAGAAATCAGCAGCAGCCCCCTGGGCCAGCCTGGCTCCAAATGGACCATGAAGCCCCAACTGCCACCAAATCTGGTTTCTAGTAAGAATTCCCAGAGTGCTCTGTGCTCTGCTTTCTGCACAGGCTTCGTTCTTCTGCTCCCCTTCCTGTTTAAATTCCCCCTACTCTTCAGAAGTCACTGCCTGGACCATTTGGGCCCTCACTTCCTTCTCTGAGCACCGATTACACTGAAGGCCAAGGGACTATGTATTCCTTGCTAGGCCTGAGTTTTCACCATGGTGGGGGGGGGGGCAGGGGAGGGGCTTCCAGAGTAGTCATGAACAGCATGGATTGCAGGGACTGGTAGCTCTGAGTTCTAAGCCCAGCGCTGCCACTTGGGCAGGCCAAATAACCTAAGCCTCAAGTCCCCCACTTATAAAACAGGTACAGTAATGTTGTCTAGTATCACTGTGATGATTCAGTGAGGTACCGAGGTCATCATGTACGGAGAGCGCACAGGAGGACCCAGAACTCAGCAGTTGCCACATACTGAGTACTGATTGTCAGTATCTTCCATTGGCAATTCTATAGATAAGTTGGCACTTTCTGGTATCTTCCTTTGACTGGATTTAGTGGACAATTTAATAATTCTCGGACTGGTCTCCAGGTGTCTCCCCAACTGGACAGTAAGCTCCATGAAGCTAGGAGTCCTAGATGTTTGTAAGAAGCATTGAGCTAAGTGCGTGGCACATTCATTCATGCCAGAGACTCACAAGATACCCTGCTCTCCCGCAGTATCAAGTTAGTTGGAGAGACGCTTACATCATTGACAGTCAAAAGAATAAGCCAATCACCTTTGGGCAGTCAATGCTCAATGCGTGCACCTTGATCCATCCCTTCCTGAGTGAGGATTTCTAGGGCCATGTGGCCAGCTCTGCCCTCCAGGACTCCCAGCCCAGTCACTCACTGTGATATTGCAGAGGATGAGGAAGAGGGAGATCTCCTTAAGCGCCCGCCGCTTCCAGTTTAGGTGGCTGTAAGAGTGGATGTAGGCCAGCGAGACCCGCTGCAGGCCCTGGCCCAGCTCCAGCAGGGAGCTCCTGCGGGAAGGCCCAGCCTCTGGCTTATCCATCTGGGCTGCCTCCCAGATGGGACGCCGGTGCAGGCCCTCAATAATGAAAAGGTTCTGGGCGATGTGCTGCAGGATGAGCAGCAACGAGTAGGCCAGGATGAGGCGGTTGAGCAGCTCATGCGGGTCAGTGGCTACGGTGGCCACAATGGAGAAGTAGGCGATGCCCACTTGACCCAGCGCCGCTCCCATCAGCAGCACCACATCCAGGCTGCGTGTGGGGTTCTTGACTGTATCCAGCTCACGCTCCTCCAGCCCATGGATGGCTGTGCCTGCCAGGCACGCCAAGCTCATGGCGGGCAGCACGGCGACATAGAAGCCATAGTAGAGGGTGAAGAACTGGTGCGCGATGGCCGGGCCACTTGCCTCGATTTGGAAGAGCACAAAGACGCACACACCAGCCACTAGCACCAGCATGCCCAGCAGAGGCCCGAAGATGACCCCGTGCAGGTGGAAGGTGTGGGTGCTGGGGTGGAGTCCCGTGTGGGGTGCTAGGCAGCGGCCCACATTCTTCCACATGACGAAGAGAACAGTACAGCAGATGAGGCAGTACTCGGTGCTGAAGGGATAGAGCATCAGGTAACCCTTCTGGAATACCTCACACACCGTGGTATTGAGGCAGAAACAGGTGTTGGTCTCGTTGCCTGGGAGAGGGCCGGGCAGGAGGGGACAGATGATCAGATGGGCTGGCTGCACAAAAGATACCTCTCCTGCAATATGGGTGGACACGGAAGGGACCCAGCCCCTCATTGTGCAGATGTGGAAATGGATGCCTAGAGGCAGAGACCCTAAATCACAGGAATGCAAAAGGACTCTGGTGTCATGCTTGCATTTGAAACGAAGTGTCCTTGGTGCCAACTGTCACCTCCACAAATGATTTGCTGAGCACAAGGGAAAACCTATCGCTTTACAATGAGGTGGTCTGGTGGCTGCGTGTACCCCATGCTTAATCGCAGCCACACTCGCTGTGGGGAAGTGGGATGTCACGTGTTTTCTGATGAGGTGTCACTCAAAGCACACAGTGCCGCCTGAGAAGTTGTTGTTAAGTGCCAACTCAATATGACCCTGTATAGGGTTTCCAAGGGATGGCTGGTGAGTTTGAACCATCGACCTTCTTATAGGGTAGTTCTACCGTCTGCTAAGGTCACTGTGAGTCAGAAGCAATGCAGTGGCAAAAGGTTGGTTTGTTTTTAATACTCTTTTAGAACCAGATGCACTGCATGCCTTTCACTGGATCCTAACCTGAATAACCCAACCATATAAAACATTGCATAAATGAATTGAAGAGACTCAAATTTACATATAGAAATTATAATGGATGATGTTAAAGGATTTTGTTAAAAATTATAATAGCATTGTAGCAACATAGGAAATATACATATTTTTAAGAGCTACATAGGGAACTGTTTCGAGGTGAAATGCCATGATTTCTATAATTTAAGTACATCAGCAAAACAAGTAAACATGGCAAATGGTTAACCATGATTACAACTGGGCGGTGGTATATCCTATATCCTGCTCTTAATTTGAATGCTTGTATTACATTCAAATGATCTTTTAACTGAATGCTTGAAAAAAATGATGAATACAAATCAAGATAAAAATTTTATACAGTTTGATTCTTTTTTATGAATGTAACATTTTATCCTCTGATTTTTTTTTTTTTTAAATCAATAAACAATGGTGTCACTTGTTAAACATTTTCTCTGCAGTTTTTCTGGAAACTGTCCCCAGGGTATTAAGAATAGACATTGTCAACAGGTATGCCCTGCTTTATACAGTTGTTGTTAAGTGCCGTCGAATCAGTTCCGTTTCATAATGAACCTAAATAGGGTTTCCAAAGAGTGGCTGGTGAATTTGAACCACTGACCTTGCAGCTTTATACAGTGGACATGTGAATTCATGAGTGCGGGGAAGACTCTGCTACACATGGGTCACAATATGATGTCACGAGAGGGTTGTATGCATACAGGTGTGGCTGGACCCTGCAGATGGCAGTTTTCCCAAGTGCGTTTATGGGATACGGTATCTAAGTGTGGGGGATTATACCGGAAGCGGCACATGGACTAATCTGGGAGTTACTGGTCTGCTGGACATACCTTCTGATTGGTTTAGGTCCCTTTAGCTGAATTAGGAAGACACTCTCTTTAGTTTTTAAGGCTTTCGTTCCTGCACATTGGTGTTAGTTGTTAAGGGATGTCAAATCAGTTCTGACTCATAGCAACCCTTTTATATCATTTCCAAAGAGTGGTTGGTGAGTTTGAACTACCAACCTTTTAGTTAGCAGTCCAGGGCTTATCCTACAGCACCATACAGATTCCTGCTAAGACAATGCAAATACCACCAGTGGGTGCAAACCTAAAGCGCTTCTCAGTGAGTGGCTAGCTTGCTGACAGTGAGATGGATACCTGGAGTGGGTTGCAGGTGCCAACACCTGTCCGGACAGGCACAGTATGGGGGCAGGAGGAGGGTGAGCATTGGTAAACTTCCTCCTGTTTTCTGGTTCACTATGACCCAGCCTTGGAAGTTTGTGTTATAGTGAGAGGTACACTTGAAGGAATGTGTATGTATCCTGAGGGTGGGGTGGGGATGGTACCTGAGAACTTCTCCATGACGGCGCTGAGCTCAGCCTTGATCTCGCGATGCATAGAGTCATTGGTGACTGCTAGAACCCACAGCAACAGGTTTGTGGCCAGGGTCAGCATCAGGCCACACCTGGAAAAGGTCACACGCAGTCACTCAGCCCAGGTGGCTCTTCAGTGCTACGGGAGGACTACTAAAGCCTCCCAAAGGCAGATTGATCCCATTCCTGGATCATCAAGGACTTCAGGAGTTGTGGGTCTGTAAGCTCATTCTCAGACTGAAACACACTCCAGACCACTCTTTCTGGGAAGACCGTGAGAAACAGGCGCATAGAGGACATAGGGAGCCCCAGAAGGTTCTGGATGGAGAGAAGTAACCACATCTTACCTAGTGAGGTTGGTCTGGATCTGAACACAGTCCTTACAGTGTTTCCAGAGCACCCAGGTCTAAAAGAGAGTAAGCTTTGAGCTCAGGGGTTGGGGTGGTAGGACCATGGGGTATGTGGCTCCCATTGTTTGTATGTATTACAGTGGATAAGACAGTGAGGAGACCTGGGCTGGAATCTTGGCTCCACCTTTTCCTTGCTGTGTGATCTTGAGCCACTGATCCAGTATCTCTGAGCCTTCATTCCCTCCACTTTGAAAAGGGACCAAAAATGCCTACCAATTAAGGGAATGCCTGCTTATTGGGGAAATTTAAAAGATGATGCCAATGGAGCACTTGGCACAATGCCTGGCATATAACTGGCACTCAGGAGAGAATTCAATGTCTTTATTCAAATAGATGTGGATTTCGTTAGATGTATGCAAGTATGTGCAAGTACACAAGGTCGGCGGTTCAAGCTCACCAGCCGCTCCTCCGAAATCCTATACAGGGTCACTATGAATTGGTACCGACTTGATGGCACTTAACAACAACATGTACATAGCTGCATTTATAGGTATCTACTCTAATGTGCCGGAGTCCTGGTGTGGCACTGTGGGCTAAGGCATCAGACTGCAAAGTTGTTTGAACTGCAAGGTCGGCAGTTCAAGCTCACCAGCTGCTCCTTGGAAACCCTATACACGGCCGATATGGTTTGGAACAGACTTGACAGCACTTAACAACATTTCAGTTATGGGGTGTGCGTGAAGCTATAGGTAGCTGTGTGTGCACATGGGTACATGGAGTTAGGCATTTGTATGGGCATGTGGGATGTGGGTCTATACACTGGGGTCTGTAGGTAGAAGGCTGTGTGGCTGCTTGTAGGTGTTATTAAGTGCCATCGAGCTGGTTCAGACTCATAGTGACCCTGTATAGGATTTCCAAGAAGCAGCTGGTGGGTTCGAACTTCCAACCTTGTGGTTAGCAGTCCACTGCTGACCCTATAGCACGTGATGCTTGTGGGTACAGGTGTGTGTGTGTGTATGTGTGTGTAGGCAGGATGTGTGCCCGAGTACATGGGGATGGGAGAGGCCTGTTACCTGGATGCAGATGAAGATGACCTCAATGACAGGGAAGATTAGCTCCAGCTGGGACTTGCAGTGGCTGTGGCTCACATCGTAACCCACACGGAAGACGTTGAGGCAGATGGTGCAACTGCCAAAGAGCACCAGGGAGCCTGGGCAGGCCAGGTGGGCATTTGCATCTCCCTGGGAACTGGCTCTCCCTCCTCACCCTTCCCCTGACCCAGTGCCCCGACACTCACCCCGCACCCAGAGGGGTCCGGCGTGAGGATCTCGGTATAGTACAGCGTGTGGCCGGTGGGTGGTGCCAGCCACATAGTACAGGAGCCAGAGGAGCGAGAGGAGCTTGAGCGCGACCAGTAGGAACCACACGTCCCCTAGTGTGACGGCCACACTGTTGAAGATCATGCTGCAGATAAAGGCTCCGCCCAGGAACACCACATTGAGGGCCAGGAGCCCTGAGACAAGCTGCCCTGCCTTCTGGGCCTGTGAGTCCCGCCGCCACAGTAGCACTGAGAAATGCTGTCCCAGCCAGGACTTCTGCCTGGGTGGGGCTGGTGACCCTGAGTCCGGAGACCCCGTGTTGTTCCCATTCTCCGCGACTGGGGCAGCAGTCATCTGGACTTCTGTAGAGAACTCAGGTGGAGCCTCAACAGGGGCTGGGGAGAGACAGAGGGCTCTGTGTTGCCTCCTAAGCTGTCCTGGGTTCATTTTCACCCCTACCCCTAGATAACTGTGTGTTCTAGGGTGAACTATGCAACCTCTTTGGTTGGGATATTGGACATAATAGCATCTGTTCACTTACCTTATAGGAAGAGGGTCAGAGAGACCAGGGGATATGGAAAGGAGCCTGGGGTGATGCAGTGGGTTAAGCATTGGTCTGCTAACCAAAAGGTTGGTGATTTGAACCCACCAGCTGCTCCATGGGAGAAAGATGAGGCAGTCTGCTTTTGTAAAGATTGACAGCCTTGGAAACTGCTTGGAGCAGGTCTAAACTAGTCTATAACATTGCTGAGCTGTAACTGACAGGAAGGCAGTGTGTGTGTTCCAAGTGTTGTTGTTGTTGTCAGGTGCCATCCAGTCGGAACCAACTCATAGCGACCCCATGCACAGCAAAACGAAACAATGTCTGATCCTGGGCCAACCTCACTACTGCAGCCACTCCTGAGTCCATCAATGATGCCACCTGGCCAGTCCATCTTGTTGGGCATATGGAAACTTGGTGCTGCACATAAACATTGTTTCACCAGCCTCTCCTCCTGAGCTGGGTCACCCTATTTTTCATCTCTGTGATTTAGCCAGATCCTAAGGGGGGGCTAATAATGGCAGACAAGGGGGCTGAGGGTATTTCATAGTGCCAAGACACAGAACAGGTCTCTAGGTTGTGACTTTTCAGCACCAAAAAACAACATTTTTTTCTGGGAGGAATTTCACTTGTGGGACCAGGGAAAGCAAGTAGGTGTCTGTTGGTTGGTGTTCTGACTCTAAGTAGCTGGATTTTGATGGCCTGAGGTGTTGTGTTGAGGTGGATCTTGAGGCTGGGTCTGGGCAGAGTGGAAAAGAATGTTGTGATCTATGTCTATGAGTACACATGAGTGTATATAACATTTTTTTTTTTTTTTTAATCTAGAAGGTTTTTCAAAATCACCAATCAGAGACCAAACAGTCAACAATTACTTTAAAACAAAGATGAGAATGTAAGGGTGCAGGGAAACTAGATTAATAGAAATGGAACAACTAGACCAGAAATCATGAGAATGTTCACGAATTATGAAGTACATAATGAATGCTACTGAACGACTTATGTAGGAATTGTCGAATGGGAATCTAAACTGGTATGTAAACTTTCACCAAAAGAATGGTAAACTTTTCTTTAGCTTTAATGTTACAGTTCAAAAGCATTAACACCTTCATTATTTAAGGTCCCTTTTAAAACTTAACAAAGGGAAATTTCTGCGATTGATTTGCAATGTCTACCATTAACTTCTCCCCTTACCTTTCAAAGAACTGCCTTCCACCTGCACACACCCTATCCACAAATGCCCAGGAAAGTGTGGGGAAAAGATTCTTGACCCTTCCCTTTCCTGCTACTTCTTCACCGTCTCAAAGATTTTACTTGTCACCCCTCACCTGGACCCAGATCATTGGCCCCCAATACCTGCAGTCCTGGTCTGGGTGTCCTCCCGACAGGAAGAACACTTACGAGTTCATCTGGAGGCTCCTCCCCAGACACTCTTCCTTGGTCCTGACGCTGCCCTGTCCTCACTCCCCCATCCCTGTGATTTGTGCCCCGGGTCCTAAGTGCTCACTGTTCTCCAGGCTGGTGAGGCCTGTTTCCTCAAGTCCACTTCCTCAGAGAATTGCACTCTATTCCCATGTTTCCTAGCTAGGAACTTGGCATCCTCCTTGCCTCTCTCTCCCCTTCTCTCTTCTCTAGTCTGTCCACTCTGGCTCAGGAATTCCTGGGTGACTTTACTCAACCCCAACCACTACCCTAGCCTGACTTTCTGCTCAAGGCTCAGACTGGTTTCCTTGCTCTTTGTAACTCTTCCTTACTGGAAGCCCTGCAAAGACAACCAACTGCCCTCAGTGTCAAGTCCAAACTACCCAGCATGACCCCTATGGCCTTCCAAGTGAAATAAAACAGTGTATGTAAAGGGCTTAGCCAGGGACTGCCCACAGGAAATGCTCAGAGTTGGGGGGCTGCTATTGCTCCCTAGTTGGCCTCAACTTACCTCTCTAGCGCTGTCTTATGACCCGGCCCCTGTCCCCAGGCCAGGTCATCCCTCCTACAGCAACTAGAATACTGTTTTTACGTCCCTCTCCGTCTTTTTCTACACCCCACTGCCTCTAACATCTACCTCCTTTGCTTGTTAGCAGATCCTAACTTGTACTTCAGGGTTCAGCAGAAACCTTATGTCTTCTAGGGGTCTTCCAAGACCCTCCATTTCAAGTTGGGTGATGTGGTCCCTCCTAGGGTTCCCTTGACACCATATGTCACTCTAGTTTTTAATAATGTGTTTATTTTGTTGTTGTCAAGAGTATACACAGTATAACATACACCACTTTCTACATGTACAACCTCGTAATCTTGTTTTCTGAGTTGTTCCTCCATCTTTCATATAAACTCACTGCCCCTTACAGTTTCTTTCTAATCTTCTGAGTGGCTGTTGTCCATTTGACCCCATATAGATAGAAAGACCTTGAAAGAGTACAGTGCTGAAGGCAGAAAGTCTCTCTCTCTCTTTTTTTCACTGGTTAAGTCAAACTGTTGTTTGGTTTTATGACGAAAATTTAAGACTGAAGAAGAGGATATTTGAGGTTTAAAGTTTAAAGATAATCTTACGGCAATAGTTTCAGGGGTTCATCCAGCCTCCATGGCTCCAGAAAGTCTGGATTCTGTTCTGTGTCCCCCCCACCCCTTTGATCAGAATTCTTCTATAGAATCTTTGATCAAAACGTTTAGTCATGGGAACCAGGTACCAACAACTTCTCTGGTCTCATGGCAAAGGAAGCTGTTGCTCATGGCTGTCTTGCTATATTCTCATTATCTGTGTCCTGCTTCATTCTTAGACTCAGTTTCAGGGGCAACAAACTTTTCCTCTGGTGTGTCCCCCATAACACCTCCACCACATTTGGCTCTAAAATGCATCCTCTCCAGGTCCCTATTCTTCATATGTCACCTGCTCAATATTTGTACCTTCTACTGCTCTCTTCTGGGGGTGCAGTGGTTCTATTGGATAAGCATTGGACTGTGAACCACAAGGTTGGCAGTTTGAGCTCATCAGCCATGCCTTGGGAGAAAGATAGGGCTTTCTGCTTCTGCAAAGATTTACAGCTTTGGAAACACTATGCAGTGTCGCTGCGAGTTAGAACCCACTTGCTGACACTTAACAACAACTATTCTCTTATGGGACAACAGGGTATTAAAACTTTTAACAATGATTTTCTCCTTTCCAGTCCTCCCTGTCAGCCTTGCTCCAGCTCTTGTGGCCTCCCTGTCAGCCGAATTCCCCACACCCCAGGCACCTACCCCAGGTCCAGCCATGTGTCTCTCGCCTTCCACCTTCACACCTGGCTGGCTCTTCCTTCTGCATTGCCCATCATCCCTCTACCAAGGGCTCTAGCTCATCTTCACAACCACCTTAAGGGCTTCTCCAGAGAAGCATGCTGGTGGTTATCTAGTTGGACCATTCCCCTCTATTGGGAGTGGGTGTGCATTGTCAGGGAAGGTGCTGTGGATGTGGCTCGCTCCCCTCAAGCCGAGGAGCTCCATGGGAGCAGAGACCAGTTTCTGCTTCACTCAGACCCCGAGGCTAGCACAAGCAAGACCCTCAACCAGTGTTTGCTGATGGACTCCGATCGCTTCTGGGGAACTTTCAGCACCGGAACCATGGACAGAGACCCTGCCCATCTTGGTATGGGTGGAGGGGATTTCCAGATCATCTGTATTTTTAACCCCCACCCAGGTTGAGCAAGCAAGAGGCTCACTGGGCGCCTCCCTGCTGCTTTCTCCCAAGAAAGACTCCACCTTGCCTTTCCCCAAATCTTCCCCCTCCCTCGCCCCCAGGCAGGGTGGCCTAATGATTAACCCTTGACTACAAGTGGATACCTACCTACTCTTACAGACCCTATAGGACTTCCAAAGCTGTAATCTCTCCGGAAGCAGAATGTCAGGGCAGCTGGGTGAGTTGGAACCACTAACCTATCAGTAAGGCCAGATTCTGTCACTTACAACTTCTGTGGTTCTGGACAAGCCACTTAAATTCTCTGTGCCTCAGTTTTCACATCTACAGAATGGGTTTAATAAGTGTAAATACAACTGTAGAATAATGCCTAGACCATAATACCCCAAATCCAAACCCAATGCCATCAAGCTAAGACAGACTCCTAGGGATAGCCTTGTTTTTCTCCTCTGAAATGGGTTGGTGGGTTTAAACTGCCAACATTACAGTTAGCAGCCTAGTGATTAACTCACAGAACCACGAGGGCTCCTTAGTCCATTGTTGTTGTTGTTAAGTGCCATCAAGTCGGTTCTGACTCATAGCGACCCTGTATGAGGGAGCAGAAAGTCGCATCTTGCCCCTGCAGAGCTGCTGGCATCTTGAACTGCAGACCTTGCCATTAGAAGTCCACTGCTTTTTGTATGGAGCCACTGTACTCCCCTTAATAAACATTGTTGAATGAATTAATGCAAACTCCCTACCTCATAGGTATTTGTCTGAATTAAACGCTCTAAAACATGTAAATGTATATAAAATATATACACACCCAACAGCTCAGTGTTACTATTTGTTTGTTCCTTTCCAATTCTTTCAAGACCCAGGAGAGGCCGGTAGGGCGTGGTTATTGCTCAAGTCCAGAGGCGGGTTTTGCAGGCCCAAAGGGGACTCTAGGGGACAGCGTTCCGGATCCTCTCCCTCCAGGGTCCTCCACCTGACAGCATCCCATCTCCTCCTCCTGAGGGTCACCCCTCCACTGCACTAGAGGATGCAAACTGGTGAATTCAGCTCTCAGCGGGGAGGGTGGCGGGACACATAGGGGCCTCGGGAGAGGGGCGAGGGAAACTGGAGTAGACAAGGCGTTTGCACCCCCGGCACTCCCCTCGGCGCAACGCCAGCCCAAAGGAGGGCCCAGACGCCAAACTGGTTTGTGGGTCGCGGTTAGAGGAGGGTGATGAAAGCAGCTGAGCCGTCGGGGCGCGGTGCCCGACTAGGCACTCAGGGCAAACTCCAGAGGAGGTTGCTGAGCGCGGGCCGGGGGGCTTCGGGATCTCTTCGGAACCACAGTGGGTCTTCAGGGCTTCCCGCGAACCCCAGCCCAGATCCAGGCAGCCCCAACCCCACGCCCTTCTCCCCAACTGCCCGGGTTTCTCTTCTCCCTGGGCCCAGATATCCCCTTTTTCGGCCATGTGCGGCTACGCGCCATGCTGACCTCTGGGGGCCCGGGCTTGCGGATAGGAGGTGGGGGGCGGACTGGAGTTGAAGGAGAAGGGTCAACGCTGGAGCTGCGATCTCGGGGTTGGCTTCCCCCGACCCCTAGTCATGACTCCTTCGTGTCCTAATCCCTGCGGGCGCCTGGACTCTGAACCTGGCTTTGGGGGGTGTGGGGGCGGTGTGGTGGTGGGGAGGCTTGCCTGTAAAGTTCCCCCTGTGGGCTCCAGGGCTCTCGCTCCAATTGCGGCCGGGGCAGCCTTACCTGAGGCCTGAGCAGACATCGCCACCGGCTACCCACCGACTTCGGAGCAGCGGCGCGTTGGTTCAGCTGACGCCCCGCGCCCCGACCGATGCCCCGACGGCCTCCCCCCGCGGGACTGCGCAGCCGCCGCTCGGCCTCCGTGGCCCATCGATTTTCCTGTTGACTTTGGGAATCTCATTAATTCCTCATTAACTATCCCGCCGGGGGCTCCGGCCCTGACGCGACAGCCAATAGCGCGGCGGCTGGAGATGGAGGGCGGTGCCGGAGGTGGTGCCGGCTCCGGGCGAAGCGTCAGGGGGCCCAGGGGCCGGCCTTGGGCTGGAAGCGGGTCCTCCTGGGTGGGTGAGGTGGGATACACTGTCCTTTCACCAGTAACAAAGGGTTTTGGGGTTTCAGGTCGCACTTTGCTCTGGCAGCCAGGTTGAGACTGCATCCCACCTAGCATAGCAGAAAGGTTGGCAGTTCAAACCCACTCAAACAAGCCTAGGAAGACAGGTCTGGCAACCTAGTTCTGAAAGGTTAAGTGCCATCGAGTAGGTTCCCACTGATAATGACCCTGTATAGGGTTTCCGAGGAGCGGCTGGTGAGTTTGAACCGCCGTCTTTAAGGTTCAAACCTACCTTGAGGTGGAGTGCTTCTCCTACAGCGCTATACTTGAAGTCCTATGAAGTGAAGAGCGACGCTGCACACGTGGGGTCACCACGTGTCAGAATCTACTCCAGGACAACTAATAACAAACCTGGGGGCGGGGCATGTGCAACTGTGTAGCTCGACCCTCTCCAATCAGCATTGTTTCTCCCTGAAGTCAGATATAAAAGGAGCTGGAAAAGACCCAGGCAGTACTCCATTGTACCAGGCAAGTGGCTGGGTTGGATGGAAGGCCACTCCTTGGGGGCCTCTGAGACCCAGACCACTTTATCCTGCTGGTAGGGGCCAAGAAGTCACTGAGAAGCCCCCTGTGTTCCAGGAGCTGCTGCCCCTACGGTCTTCCACTCAGGATCCAAGTGATGTCTCCTCCCACCCAGCCTGTCCTTCATCTGTCTCTGGCTGCCTACCACCTTTCTTCTCCTCTAGCTGAGGTGCCTCCTTGTCAACCTCTCTCTAACCTTCCACCCGCTCAGCCCCCTCACCCCAACTCCTTCCAGAATTTTCTGTAGGGTTAGAAGACTAGGACTCTAGAGAGAGTCTGGGGGACTAGGGTGGTGGAGAAGAATCTTAATCCTCTTAAACTAGAACAGCCCTGCTTATATTCTATGCTAGATTCTCGGGCCCTAAAATATTTTATTTGAGGGAGAAAATGTTTTGCTGCTTGAAAAAAAAAAGTTTGAAAATGATAATTTGTGTGACCTTGGAAAAGTTACTTCCTCTCTCCTGGCCTCAGTTTTCTTCTTTGTAAAACATGCTAGATGACTGGGTCAGTGTTTCCTCACCTTTTTTGTGTCATGGAACACATAAATAAAAAAGATCCTACGTGGATGTTATTTTGGGAATGAGAAAGGGAAATGTGGAAGTCTAGCCCAGCTCCTTCCAGACTCACCCAGATACCACTTAGCTAGTTTCTTGGGACTCCTGGTGTGGCACTGTAGGATCAGAACCACAAAGTCTACAGTTCAAACCCACCAGATGCTCCATACAAGTTCGCTGAGTCAGAACCAAGTCGACAGCACTTAACAACAACAAACTTGGCTCCCTCACTGGAAATCTTCCCTTCCAGCTTTGCCCTTGAACCCCGATCCCCAGACCCTCTCCTGTGACCATTTCAGCAGGGGCAGCAGGGGGAGGGGGGTGAATCACTGGTTTATTGATTCCCAGCTCCAGACAGCAGCTCTGGCCAGACTACAGTGCTAGGATTGGGGTCAGAGCCAGATCTGGTGCATCTAGATCTTGCCTAGTCCTCCCTGGTTGTCCCATGCCCCAGGGTCCTTCTGGGGTGGGTGGACATGTCCCAATTGTGATTTACAAACTCCTGGAGAAAAGAACTTTATGTGCAAGTTTCACTTTAGAACAAGCATGGAATGGCAGGAATGTGTCAGTCTGCGCTGTGGCTCTTGTCTCTAGGAGGGACTCAGGGTGGGCGCCTGAGCTGTCCCCCCACCACATTCCTGTCAACTCAGGACAGCACGTAGACCTCCAGCAAGCTGGAGACGGCGTGCATACGGTAGAAGATGCCAAATGGTAGACAGATGTTGACGATGGCTGCCCAGAGGGCGTAGCCATAAAAGTCCACCTCCACCGTGTTGCTGAAATGAGGGCGGGCACCGAAGGCAGGCATGATCCACAGCTGTGTGGAGAGAGAGGCATATTAAGACCTAGCCGGACTGGAGCCCACAGGGTCATTTCTGTGACCTTTCAAGGGGGTATCCAGGGCTCTATTTTGGTGGGCAGTGAGGGCATTACCGAGGGAGACCACCAGTGTCTTGGACAAGACTTGATGCTCACTAAGGAGCTTGAGAAGTTGTGCCCCACTGAGGCAATTCACCGCAAACTAGGTTCCTGACCAAATTTCCTCTTTGTGGCGCTGTCGGTTAATGCACCAGACTGCAAAGCTGTTTGAACTGCAAAGTCGGTGGTTCAAGCTCACCAGCTGCTCCTCGGAAATGCTATACAAGATCACTGTGGGTCAGAGTCGACTCGAAGGCGCTTAACAACAACAACAACAACAACAACTCATGGGGTGGGAGAATGGAAGGAGGGGGTTTCAACCAAGAATGTGAGAATTTGGTATTAATGGCTGAACCAGTAGCTCTCTCCTGGAAAGAGGTATGTGTGGGGGTGGTGATGGTGTTAGGCTCCAGGTAGCTGGTTCAGGGTCCAGCCAGATGGGCTCCCACTCCCTCCTCTGAGCTCTGCCCCTCCCCATGATGCCAGGACCACAAGAAGAGGGTTGAAACTGGAATTCTGTTTCATCTCTGGGGCATAAGGCAACGACCAAAGCCTTCTAAGCACTCTCTGGCCCCTTAGCTGTGTATTCTTGTGCACATCACTACCCTCTCTGAGTCCTAGCTTTTACCCTACAAAATGAAGGGGTTGGAATGGACGCTTTTAGAAGTGATCCCAGATACCAGGATCAAACAGCTCCAGGTAGGAAGGGCCAGGGTGGATGGTGGGAGCAGGACCAGGGGACGAGGTACTGAAACTGGCCCAAGACATAATGAGGTTTCTAACCTGACTGCCTTTACTGATAGGCTGGAGGTTGGTGGCTATGGTGTCGTTCTTTCTTTTTCTTTTTTTAAGTTAAGCTATGTTGGGGGGCTCCTGCCTGGGGTTGTGCTCCTTCTATGGGGACCAGGACTACAGGGCGGTTGCCTGCAGTAGTCCCCATAGAGACTTCATTAAGAAGGCACCTCCGCTAACCTGTTGGTACATCTCCAGTAGACCCTATGGGGAATGTATTCACTCTGGGGATGTTGTTCTATATTGGGGTATACTCACATATTTTTATGGGAGGTTTCAGTTAAAGGGACTAATTTTATGTTGAGTTGGATTATCATTTGAGGTGTTTTCTTGACTTAGGATATAGTCACTTAGTATGTGTCCCTATATGAGAGATTTTACTCCAGGGGATTCTACGAAGGGGCTTTAAAAAGTTTGTGGAATAGTCCCATTATCTTTCTATTCCATTTTCCCATGAACTTTCTGAAGCTCTGTCGTACTGACTCTGAGGCATTTCTATACTGGGTTGTAGCTACACACCAGGCATGCTTCTCTATTGGGGTGCCCCATCACTTAGAGCATATCTGCCTTGGGGTGTTTCCATATGGAGGCGTTGCTTCTAGTAAGCAGCTTTGCTGAATCATGGAGTGCGAGGTGCCTGCGTCGACAACCCCCTTCCCCACAGTCCATTTCTGCTCACACTTACATCGCCCCCCGCTGCTTCCGGAGGCTGCTCCAATTATTCTGAGAAGCAGACAGGTCACAAGTTCCCAGCAGCAATCACACCTCACACGGGGGAGGGGGGTGGAGGACGGGGTGGATGAGGGGGCCCTATCCTCCACATAAGCTCTGCCAGCTCCCTCTCACTTCTACTCAGTCCCCCAGGACAGCATTCCCTGGGACCCCCGACTGTTGCCTAGATACCACCTGCTGGGGTTTCATTTTGTGTGTCCTGAAATGCTGGACACCAGGGAGCTGTCGGGTTCTCTAGTGAGCTAGGGGCAAGACGGAGAAGGCTCTGAGTTCTGACCTGGAGGAGCACCCTTTCCCAGCATGCTCTCTGCCCCAGTCCACCCTCTGCTCCCCACCAGCTACTCACAATGACATTGCAGAGCAGGAGAAACAAAGAGATGTCCTTCAGGCACCGGCGTCTCCAGTGGCCCCTGGGAGCCAAGATGATGGCCTCTGCTTCCTGGGGGCCTGTGGAACTGGGGCCTACCAGCCTAGGAGTGGGTGGGCAGGAGGGTAAGGTATGCAGGGCATCCAGGTTAGCAAAGGTTAGGCCGTGGCAGGGCTCTTTGGGGGCTGTGTCCTGAGGCTCAGTTTCTGGTGGTCCCCGGTGGAGGCTCTCAATGATGAACACATTCTGGAAGGTGTGCTGAGCAATCAGAAGCAAAGCGTGGGCAAGGTTGAGGCCCCCCAGCAGATCTTTGGGCATGCCCACTACTACGGCCACAATGGAGTAATAGGAGATGGCATACTGGCCCAGGGCAGCCCCCATCAGCAGGGCCACATCCAGGGTGCGAGTGGGGTTCTTGTGATGGTCCATGGCCCGACGGTCAAATCGGTAGATGATCGAACCACTCAGGCTGACCAAAGTCATGAGCCCCAAACAGACGATGTTGAAGCTGTAGTAGATGACCAGGGCCTGCTGAGTTTCGCTGCCCTCCCCACTCACTTGGACCTCATAGATGATGAAGACAGCCAACCCCACCACGAAGAGCATCAGGCCCAGGATGGGGCCTATAAAAAAGGTCTCCCGGAAGAGGCTGACCGGGGATGGGGCATGGCTGTGGCCATGGGAGGAGGTCAGCAGCCGTCCCACGTTCTTCCACATGACATAGAGCATGGTAGAGGCAAAGAGGCTGTATTCGATGTTGAAGGGATACAGGTAGAAGTAACCCTGCTGGAAGATCTGGCAAATGGCTGTGTTGCAAGGACAGGGGTCTCCTCCGACTGGGTTACCTGCACGTTCCGCTGGGGACAAAGGGACACAGACTGAAGTGTCCTCCCTCCTTCTCAGACACACCCTACCTGAAGAACCTCACCCCTTAGAGGTGAGGACAGCTCCCAAACGCCATACCCACCTGTGCACAAATATTTACTGAGCCCCTACTATGCGCCATTTCAGCTATGGTGTCAAAAGAACAAACCAATCTGTGTTGGGAGAAGTGCAGCCAGAATGCTTCTTGGAAGCCAAAATGGCCAGACTTCATCTCTCATGCTTTGGACATGTTATCAAGAGGGACCAGTCCCTGGAGTAGGATATCATGTTAGGTCAAGTGGAGGGTGGGAGTAAAAAAGAAAGACCCCCCCCAACGAGATGGACTGGCACAGTAGCAGCAGCAATGGGTTCAAATATAGCAACAATCGTGAGGTTGGCACAGAACTGGGCAGTGTTTTGTGCACAGGGTTGCTATGAGTCGGTAGTGACTCGATGACACCTAACAACAACAACTATGTGCCAGAGACTGTGCGACACATCAGAGAACAACAGCCAGGTCCCAGTTTGGAAAAAGAAAAAAAAAAACCCAAACCCTAGAATCACCCTCCCACCATGCCACTCCTTTCCTTCAGAAAAAGGTCTTCTTTCTATCTTCTCCATCACTCAACCTCAGCTCCCTGGCACAGATGAGGTTTGTCCTGTTGGAAGGTAGCCCTCGTAGCTCTAGCTTCTTCACAGCCCCACCCCCCCAGCATCTGTTCCCCCTGAAATCGAGCTGCTGTGACCAGGTCCCTTCTGTGACCTCTGGTCAGTTTGGTTTGTTCCACACCGATAGGCATCTTATCTCAATTCCAGAGAGTGCCCTATAGAATACCTCGGGCTTTGACAACCATCTCCTTGAGTCCCCAGAACGATTCCAGCTGGTTTTGCAGGTGGAGAGACTGAGTCTTGGTGAAGGATCGTGAGTGGCAAAGCTACTGTGAACGACCTCCTTGCAGCCTGGAGGCCAGCACTTCTCCACCTGCCTTCCCACCACCTGGAGCCCCACCATGCTAAGCTGACCACCTGCCAGGCTAGTTTCACCATTTTCAGAATCTTCTGGAGGTACAAGGCGGTCTTTTCTCTCCCCTGCTGGACTGGCTGGTCCCTGCTTTTAGTTCCTGGATTCCCACATACTGGGATGGGGGTGGGAGTGTCTTCAGGTGAGGTCCAGATGGCCTGGTAAGTTGCCCTAAAAAGTTCTGAGGACCAGTACAAAAAGGACTGTGGACCCCATTCTCCCTCAGTATTAAAAAAACCCAATCCCTTGTCATGGATTCTGATTCACAATGACCCGATAGGACAGAGTAGAACTGCCTGTCGCCTTTACTGAAGCAGACAGCCACGCCCTTCTTCCCAGGAGCTGCTGGTGGGTTCAAACTGCTGACCCATCAGCAAGTGGGTGAGCAGTAACCTGTGGGCCCGGAGGGCTGCTGTCCTCAGTATAACATTTGGTTAAAAACGAGCCTAGGCTTGAACACCGGTCCTCCAGTTTCAAGCTCTGTGACCACAGGCTTGAACTACAACTTTCAATGTCTGTTCCTTCATCTACAGAATGGGTTTACTAACAGTATCCTTCCCATAGGAAGCTGTGAGGGGTAAATAAGATACAATGTCTAAGACTCTGAGCTTGGTATCCATTACTACTTGCCACTGACTCAGTTCCAACTCATGGTGACCCCATGTGTGCAGCAAACTGCTCCATAGGGTTCGTAAGGCTCTGAGTTTTTGGAAGCCTATCTTTCAAGGTGCTTCTGGATGGATTTGAACCACCACCCCTTTGGCTAGTAGTCAAGCACTTAACTGTTTGTGCCACCATGGCTCCTGTCTAGCATATACACCCCAAAACACAAACCTGTTACCATCAAATTGGCTCCAACTCATAGTGAACTGACAACCCTTTGGTGAACAGCCAAGCATGTTCATCCATTATTGGCAGATACCCACTGCCATCAAATCGATTCTGGTCATAGTGACCCAGTATAGAATTTCTGAGGTGTAAATCTTTAGGGGTTTGTACTGCTGACCTTGTGGATAGCAGTCTAGTGCTTATCCTATGGTGGTGGTTGTGGTGGTGTGCCGTGGAGTTGGTTCCAACTTATAGCGATCTTGTATAGGGTTTCTGAGGCTGTAAAAATTTACGGGAGCAGAAAGCCTCATCTTTCTCCTGGGTTTGAACTGCCGACCTTGTGGTTAGCAGTCTAGTGCTTCTCCTTTAGCGCCACCACAACTACTTGCGCATACCAAAGCCAAAATTAGACCCACTATCTTCCAGGTGATTCTGACTCACAGCGGCTCTAGAGTTTCCGAGACTGCACATTTTTACGTGAGTAGACAGCCTCATCTTTCCCCAGCAAAGAAGCTAATGGGTTTGAACTGCTGACCTTGTGGTTAGCAGTCCAGTGCTTAGCCTACGGTGCCATGTTGTTATTGTTGTGTGCCATTGAGTCGATCCTGACTCATAGTGACCCTGTATGGGTTTCTGAGAGTAGCTGGTGAGTTTTAACTGCCGACCTTGTGGTTAGCAGCCCAGCGCCACACCAGGGCTCCGCAGCACTACACCACAGGGCTTGGGAAATTACCGTTATTGTCTTCATCACTATTATCTCTCCTCCTCCTCCTCCTCCTCCTCCTCCTCCTCCTCCAGTATCTCCCATCGGATCTGTGCTTCCACCATTGAACTACCCTGCCTCCTTCCTCTCCCTGCTGCGTGCTCACTCTTACCCTTTCCCTTGTAACCCAAGTGGCTTCCTTGGCAGGCTGGAGACTTAGACAGTGAGACCAAGGTTGTACCATCAAGGATAATGACAACACCCCCAATACCAACTTCCCGGGTCACCTACATCTCCAGAGACTAAGTTTTGAGCAAGAAGAGGCCCTGGTCCCCCTGTGCCTCCATGTCTTTATGGGACTGATTATACAAGTCCACAAAACAGCCACTGGGCTGGGATAGTCTGGGCTGGGGCGGGACTCACCGTCATGGGTGAGGCGGGCCTGGCTGCCATTGGTGTGAGGACTGTTGTTGGAGTGGGCTTGATGCACCGATTCATCCACCACCGCTGCCATCCATATGGCCAGGTTGGTGGTGAGTGTGAACATGAGACCACATCTGTACAGGGAGAAAGTCTGGCTTACAGTGGGTCCCTGGCGAGGTGCAGAACTGGGGAGTTAGACTGGGAGGTGGTGTTGAGAATCAAGGGGCCAGTCAGGTCTCTGTTGTGGTAGAACAGCTGGGTTGGGAATGAATGCTTAGCCTAGCCAGGACGTTGTCTAAGAGAGGGCCAGGGAATGCCCAGGGGTTCAGACCATTGCTGCTAGCTAGCTCTCCCAGGGGAAAGGGCATAATGTATACTGCACAACACCCCCAAAATGCACACGCACACGCACACACACACATGCAGCACACAGGGGTGAACTCTAGCTGAAAAACCAGGAAGGGTCTACTGGATCCCCACCCAGGGTGCAGAAAGCCCTCCTCTCCTGCAAGCTCTGTGGCCCCGGCATTGAGCATTGATGGACACTCACCGGGTCAGATCCAGGTGGACATGAATGCAGTCTTTAGCAGAGACCCAGAGGAAGTAGGTCTGTATTGGGAAAGAATGCTGCCATTTATACATAGACTAAACTCCAGCCAGCCCGTGTCCATGCCCAACACTGAGTCCTCTCTACCCAAGAGTCTTTATTCTAAATTACCACATCTGTTTTGCTTTACGACAAGAGATGGGGCATATCCTCTCGCTTCTATGAAACAGTTTGTGCAAAATAACGGTTCTCTGTTCTTTAAAGCTTTGCAAAATGTCACCTGCAAAGCTCTCTGGTTGTGGCTGTTGTTGTTATGTGCCGTGGAGTCGGTTCCAACTCACAGCGACCCTATACTCTTTACGGGAGCAGAAAGCCTCATCTTTCTCCTGCGGAACAGCTGGTAGTTTTGAACTGCTTACCATGAGATTAGCACCCAGATTCGTAACCACTATGCTACCAGAGCGCCTCCTCTGATTGTGGTACTTTGTTTTATTTTCCTTGAGGGGGAGCTAGGGGTCAAGTAGAGTTTTGACTACGGGATTATCGCTTCCCGGGAGCAAGGTCAGTCTGACGCCAGGTCTCCCTTAAAGTAGAAAGATTTGGTGGTTTCTCCCCTCCTTTTCACAACATCCTCTGCCCCTGTCCTCATCCTCTGTCCCCTGCAAGGCCTTGTTTGCCTCTGGCTGCCAGTGAATCCCTGCTGTGGTATTTGCTGATGTAAGTTATCTGTGTTTTCATTTTAAATGAAATTTCAATTTGGGAAATGTGAGCATTTTCTAAACACATAAAGTCTAGTACACTAATACTATATAAATGCCATTGCCATCATTGTGTTGAATGGTGAGTGGGCAGCTGGAGGGCTCATACATGTGGTCATTCCGGTCATTGTTTTGGGCTGTGGTCCCTTCTGGTCACATGTAAGACCAGTCTTGCCTTGGCTTCATCTGAAGATCTTTCAAAGTGTTGTTTATGCAGCAAATAAAAATATATAGATACTTGAATTTGTTTGAAAAACTCTAGTTATGGGGTACCCTCCTCCCTGAGATAGATGCCCTTTGTGGCACCCAAGCAGGGCAGGCCAGGTTTTAGGAGACAAAGGTGATTGTCACACCTCACACCTGCTAGGTGTGAACTATCAGCACTGCTTAGGTTGAAACAGAATTGCAAGGCCCCTAAGTAGGAGCTCAACATTTCTATACTACATCATCATCAGGTGAATCCAGATTTATGGACTCATATGAGCCCCCTTCAGTGCTATCCCTACTGTATGTCATTGCTCAGCGTGGAAGGGGGAGGGAGTGGTGCTCTGGTCTCCTGAATCCCTTGACAGTTCCCTTTTACCACACCCCAGGATACTCCTCCCACCTACCTGGACAATGACAAACATAGCTTGGATGATGGGGTGCAGGATCTTGATGGCTGATTGGCACTCAAAGAAACTGGAGTAGTAGCCAGTCTTGAAGACATCCATCACGAGAGTGCAGATACCAAACAGCACCAGCCCTCCTGGGAATCAGTGGGGAGATCAGAGAGGCGGGAGAAAAGGCTTACCAACAGAGCTGGCCCTTCCTGAGTGGCTAGATGGGTGGGTGGAAGGATGCACGGATGGATATGTAGATGGGTAGATGGATGGTGAATGACTGAACGGCTAGCCGCTTGTCTATTAAACTCCCATCGCTCTGCTTTAGGACTGCATAGATAGGGAAAGAAGGAGCTCTGATAGCGTAGTGGTTACGAATCAGGCTGTGAGCCACAAGGTCAGCAGTTCTAAACCACCAGCTGTTCCGCGGGAGAAAGATGAGGCGTTGTGCTCCTGTAAAGATTTACGATCTTGGAAACCCTGTGCAGGGTCACTATGAGTCAGAACCGAGTACATCATCACTGTCACCAGATCAGGAAATAGTCCTGGTGTAGCGATGTAGGAGAAGCACTGGACTGCAAGGTCAGCAGTTCAAACTCACCAGCTGCTCCTTGGAAACCCCATCCAAGGTCACCATGAGTTGGAAGTGACTTGATGGCATTAATCAACAACAATCAATCTGATAGGGGAGTCTTTCAGTCCCTACTGTCTTTTGTCCTCCGCTCTATACCCAAAACTCTCCCATTACTAAACTTCTCTAATCTTTGTTGTTGTTGTTAAGTGTCAGAGAGTTGGTTCCGACCCATAGCAATCTTATATGGGGTTTCTAAGGAGCCCTGGTAATGTAGTGGTTATGCACTAGGCTGCTAACCTAAAGGTCAGCAGTTTGAATCCACCATGGCTCCACAGGAGAAAAGTGAGGCTTCCTATTCCTGTAAAGATTTACAGCCTCAAACCCTACACAGGGTCTATGAGTCCAAACCGATGTGATGGCATGCCACCACCGCCATAGGGTTTCTAAGGGGCACCTTGTGGATTTGAACTGCCAACCTTGTGGTTTGCAGTCCAGAGCTGACCCTACAGCACCACTTTAGATGGTGAAAAAGTTCCTTGACCTCTCCCCATTCATTCCTCCAACTGCAGCCCATCTCACCCCTGGCACCCTCAATCTTCCTGAAGGAACTTCTCACCCCTCTACCTCGACGTGCACCCCATAATTCCATCAAGAACCCCCACTCTCCAGCTTTCTTCCACCTTCACCCCCACCTCCCTTGGCACCTCGGAGCCAGATGGGTCCGGCGTGCGCATCGCGATAGGGAATGGCGTCAGGGCAGCGCGCAGTGCGCAGCACGTAGAAGAGGATCCAGAACGCAGAGAGTAACATCATGGTGGTGAGCAGCGCGAACACGTCGGTGTCGTACACGGCCACCTTGTTGAAGGCACCACCGCTGATGAGAGTGCAGGCGAGAAGGAGCACGTTCACAGACAGTAGCACCGACATCAGACGGCCGCCCTTCTTCCACACCTCGCGGGGGCCCGGCCGCGGCGCCGGCGGGCTTTCCTTGGGACCCTGGGCCACCTCCTCAGACATGGTGGAGGCGACAGAAGGTTGGAGGGTCACTGTGGGGGAGGAGGAAACAGGACTCCAGTCAACCCCACTATTCTCCTTCCCCCATCTTGTGCCCAGATTTGGAGACCAGGGAGATCCTAGTCCGAGAGTCGGGGCTGAGGGTTCTGGTGCTGGAAAGCCTAAGGAAGGGGAAGGAAACGGCCCCCTCAATGGGAGGAGTGGCCCTTGGAAGTCCCAAGTCTCCATCCCCAAATCTGCCGCCCTCTGACCCGCGACACTCACCTGGCTGGCTTGGTAGTCCGGACTGAGTTGGTGGCCGGGGGGTGGCGAGCGTGTCCTCTTTCCCACACGGGGCTGGCCGGGGGCTTTATACCCGGGAGGGCAGGGTGATTTACAGCCGCGAACGGGCGGGCAATACGGCTCCATAAACCTCTCAGTCTCGCTCACATGATCCATCTTCTCTCCCAGCTGAATTTAGGGAAGTGCGGATAAGGAAAGATTTCTATTTATTCGTCCAGAGGCGCCCCCTCCCCCGCCACGGGTTCGGCGTGGCCAGGTTTGAGCGGGGCCCGCACTGCGACACCCAAAGTTCACCGTACCCACGGTCACCGCACCCCCCACGGTCACCGCACCCGGAGCCGTGGTGGCTGGTCCACTGGTCCACTGGAGACCCCCGTGGATTCGCAGGCACCCCAAGGCACCCTCCCAGTTCCAGCGCGTACCAGATCTCCTGATGGCCGCTGCAGTAGAATCGGGACCCTAGTCCCTCTTTCCCCGACGGCCCTCACCGTGATCAAAGCTCCTTTCCCTTCTATCCTGGCTCTCTGCTCCTAGGGATGCTGCGAGGTCGGGTTGGGCTATAGACTTCCCACGCGGCGCGCGGAGTCCGCACCCAGCCCTCTGGCGCCCCCTGATGGAATACGGCAAACCTACCCCGCGCGAGGGCGTGGCGACTCGCGGTCCCTCCGCCTGTCCTCACGTGCCTCTTCAGCCCAATGTCCTGAGGTTCAGGATGGCCCCTCCATCCCGCTCCCAGATACCCCTCCCCAGCCTTTGTCCGCTCTTTGACGGGTGGAACAGTAAGGGTCGCAGCTCCCGGCCTCCAGAAAGAACGAATCCTGGGCTGTCCCTGACAGTCACCTAGGGGCTCTGGGGAGGGCACTTTTGGAGAGAGTACTGGGCCTGACGTGGTCACCTTGTGCCCCAAGACCTGGGGGTTTAGGACCCAGGGGAAGCTGGGGGCGGCGCCTTAGGCACCAGAGCTCCCCACTCCACCCCCCGCGCCCAGGCGGGTGAGCGGCTCAGATGTCCGTTAGCTGTGGCTCTGGCGCTCCGCACCCTCTGTCTGCGGCAGCGGGGGCTGGCGGCTCCGGCCCCTGCCTGGCCCCCAGCCCCAGCCCCAGCCCCATGCCCCAGCCCTGACCCCGTCGCCCTCCCCCGCGGAGGGCCTCGCCCCGTGCCCCCTGCCCGCCCCGTCCAAGCCGGGCACCATGAACGACCAGTACCACCGGGCGGCCCGGGACGGCTACCTGGAGCTCCTCAAGGAGGCCACCCGGAAGGAACTAAACTCCCCCGACGAGGATGGCATGACTCCCACCCTCTGGGCTGCCTACCACGGCAACCTGGAGTCGCTGCGCCTCATCGTGAGCCGCGGGTGAGTTGCCTTTCAGCCCGCGTAGAAAGGGGAAGGGTCCCCATGCGCTCCAGGCCACTGAAATGCCTCCCCCAGGCCCTAGGGCACTTTCCTCCGGTCCTGTGAGACCCCCTTCCCCTGCCACAGACCCTAATGGGGATCTTGCGCTTGGCAAGTGTGTGTGTGTGTGTGTGTGTGTGTGTGTGTGTGTATGGGGGAGGGCAGGGGGAGAGAAGGTGGGCGAGTGAGACTAGTGATCTGGAAGAGGGATTAGACGGGTAGGGAGTGGGATTTGAGAATGCCAGGATTGGGGAGGAAGACGGGAGAAGGCTCCTTGGAGGTGGAGGGAGGAGAACCCCTGGAAGGCAGCATCTGAGGTCTGGGAGAGGTTGAAGAAGCTCAAAGGGGTCGAGCGGGGAGGAGGGGCGGAGGGGCGGAGGACACGAAAAGGGGCTCTTCTGTCTCCCTAGCTCCAGACGCCACACCATCCTGAGCTGGGCCTCCCATAGTGCTGATGTTCAGCCTACTCATTTCATTTCTGGGATTTATGAGCACCATCCACAACACCAAATGCCACCGGTTCAGTCACCCCATTAACTCTGCCCCTCCCCCCACGGCAGGCCACAGTGGAGCCCTTGAAGGGGCGTCTTTCTCTCTTCATCCCTCCCTTTGGAGTTGTCCTATGGGGAAAGGGCAGGTCAGAGACAAAGAAAGCGTTCAGAAATCTTAACTGAGGAATGCAGAGCTCAAGGCCCAGGAAGTGGATTCTTGGGGCGTTTAAATCACACTGTCAGTAACTGCCCCACTTTGCAAAGAGAAGTTAGGTTGAACTGCACACCAGGGACCGCGTGGAATGGGAAAGGAGGGGGAAAAGATGGAAGGTAACTGGAAAAGATGCCCCAGGAGGCCAGGGCTGGCTGTGGTGGCAACTCCTGGCCTGAGCCTGTCCCTGTTGGGGTGGAGAAACCCCCTCCAACACTCCTCTTCTGAGCCTGCTCCCTGGGGTCTTGCTCACCTAAGACAGGTGGCTGAGCCATCTTCCAAGAGACCAAGGCTAGCCCTGACCCCACCAGTATCAGGAGGGCCACAGTGACCCCTGACTCCCCTCAGAGAGACTCACAAGAGAAGAGGGTTCCCCCTTGGTAATCTACCCCCCAACTCCTACAGTGGGCAAGGACTGGTGTGGTGTTGGATGGGATGTGGGCCAGATGCCAGCAGCCCTTCCCAGCATCCTGTGCAGGGCTTGGGGCCTAGGAGAAGAAGCTGAGGGGGTGTGAGTTGCTGATGAGACAAGGGAGTGATTCTTTTTGGCCTTTGTTGCCTCATTAGTGTGGGTCGGGCAGTGCTGAGCTAGGCCCCTGGAGGAGGAGAGGGACAGCTACAAGAGCACTTTGGGTCCTGGAAGCTGGAGCCTGCCCCCCAGCAGACAGTTTGGTGTCGAGGGTGTTAGAGGGGTCTGTCTGGGTGGGCACCCATGGGAAGCCCACAACAGCCAACTCACAAAGTCCCCACCCATGGGGCAGCCCTGAGTGGGCAAAGTGATTGGGTTGGGCATCCAACTCTCACCTCCTCCCCCCTTCAGCCCTGGCTGCCCCCATACTCCCCTCCTGGCCCAGGCCAAGACCTGACACCTGCTCTCACACAAGGCCGAGCCAGGCCTGGCCCTGCTCCCTGTGGACATGGCTGTGCTTCCACCTGCAAGCTGACTGACGCTTGACACACTGAGGGTCCAGCACACACCACCTCTCCTGGGCTCACACTCACTGGGCACACACACAGCCACACTCACCACCACGCCAGCCTGAGACCCAGACTCGGCCCTGGCCCACCACCTCTCTGGGCCAGTTCCCCCGCCGGGTCCCATGAATAATTCACTTCTTTCTCTCTGGACATCAAATATTTATCCCCTGAGATTCCCAGCCCTCAGTTCTCCCGGGGAAGGCCCCGCCCTAACCCCGCCTCCTCTGGAGCCCCGCCCCTTGGGTGCCTGGGGACATTTTTCTCCTGGGATCTCTTGGTCCTTTGGAAGGCCTGCGTGTGCCCTGGAGTCAGAAGAGAGATTTCAGTCCTATGGAGCCTCTGGGACCTGGCGGCTCTGCACGAAGCTCAACAAGGTTGGGGGTCCATCGCACTTCCTGGCCCCAGGCCCCTGCCTGCCTGTCAGCATGGTGGCTCATCATCCCTCCCTTCCCACGTGTTCTCCCTGCAGGGGCGACCCGGACAAGTGTGACATCTGGGGCAACACGCCCCTGCACCTGGCAGCCTCCAATGGCCACCTCCATTGCCTGTCCTTCCTGGTGTCCTTCGGAGCCAACATCTGGTGCCTGGACAACGACTATCACACGCCGCTGGACATGGGCGCCATGAAGGGCCACATGGAGTGTGTGCGCTACCTGGATTCCATCGCAGCCAAGCAGAGCAGCCTCAATCCCAAACTGGTGGGCAAACTCAAGGATAAGGCCTTCCGCGAGGCGGAGCGGCGCATCCGCGACTGCGCCAAGATGCAGCGCAAACACCATGAGCGCATGGAGCGGCGCTACAGACGCGAGTTGGCTGAGCGCTCTGACACGCTCAGCTTCTCCAGCCTCACCTCCAGCACTCTGAGCCGCCGACTACAGCACCTGGCGCTGAGCAGCCACCTGCCCTACTCGCAGGCCACGCTGCACGGCACAGCCCGGGGCAAGACCAAGATCCAGCGCAAGCTGGAGCGGCGCAAGCAAGGCGGCGAGGGCACCTTCAAGATTTCTGAGGACGGCCGCAAGAGCGTGCGCTCCCTCTCGGGCCTACAGCTGGGCAGTGATGTGATGTTTGTGCGCCAAGGCACCTACGCCAACCCCAAGGAGTGGGGCCGTTCCCCGCTCCGGGACATGTTCCTCTCCGACGAGGATAGCCTCTCCCGTGCCACGCTGGCAGCCGAGCCAGCCCACTCGGAGGTCAGCACTGACTCGGGCCACGACTCCCTGTTTACACGACCTGGCCTGGGCACCATGGTGTTCCGAAGGAACTACTTGAGCAGCGGTCTGCAGGGTCTGGGCCGCGAGGATGGGGGCCTGGACGGGGCTGGCACGCCGCGGGCTCGGCTGCAGAGTTCCCCGAGCCTGGACGATGACAGCTTGGGCAGTGCCAACAGCCTGCAGGAGCGTAGCTGCGCGGAAGAGCTGCCTTGGGATGAGGTGGACTTGGGCCTGGACGAGGACTTGGAGCCTGAGACCAGCCCACTGGAGACCTTCCTGGCCTCCTTACACATGGAGGACTTCACCGCCCTCCTGCGGCAGGAGAAGATTGACTTGGAGGCGCTGATGCTCTGCTCAGACCTGGATCTGCGCAGCATCAGTATTCCGCTGGGGCCACGCAAGAAAATCATGGGAGCCTTGCGGAGACGGCGCCAGGCGCTGGAGCGCCCACCTGCCCTGGACGACACTGAGCTGTGAGTGCCACTGGCTAGGAGAGTGGAGAAGGCCCAGGGGGCTCGGGGAGGGACGCATTACACCGCATTTCATAACATTTAGTCGCCATGAATTCCAAGGTGATTTTGTAAACCACCCAGTCCGAAAAAGCAGCTTCCAACTGAATCACTTGGGGCTTTCTTACTACAGTGACTATGAAATGCACCTGGACTTTTGAGAAATGGGCGCCTTGGCTTTGATATGGTAGTGTGGTCATGGTAATCATCTCCAGGATGGTTTTGAGCCCTCCCACCTCCCCAGTGCTGGGCTAGGCCCTTGGGTATCATCTCTGGTTTCCTAATGAGGAAGTGGAGGCTTCCAGTGTTAAAATGGCTCACCCCAACCTGTTGATGCCAGGGCAGAGCTGGGATTGATCTCTGGTCTGTCTAGGGAGTGGAACAAGGTGCCTCCCATGGAATGCAGGCGTGGTAGCCATAGTTCACCCCCAAAACCCAAGTCTCCCAGGCAGACGTTTTGTCTGCCTGCCTCTGAACCCCACAACCGGAGACATGAGCAAATGCTCCCAGCAAGGCCTTGAGGATAGAGTTGTCTCATTCAGAAGCCATAGAAGGTAACCTCAGGCTGGCTGTGCTGTCGGCCCATCCCTGCCCTGACCCCTGATCCCAGCTATGCTGATGGTCAGTTCCTGCCCTGCCCTGCCCCCTCACTCATGGCATCCCACAAAGCCCATCGAGCATTGCCTTCCCCTTTGATATCTGTGGCCTTTACCCTGGAGGACTGGGGCAGGGGTGGAGATAGGGGCATAGAGAGGGAGTCTGGATTAGTGTTTGGGGTCTAGGGTAAAGCTAAGTCATGAAAATAACCCGGCGCTGGTCTAAAACCATGTCTTTGAGGGCCCTCATCTGACTTTCTGTTTCTGTCCTTTTTCTCCACAGATGACTGAGGATTGTTCTCCCCAGACCAAATGAATTGCGAGTTGCCACATCCCATGGTGGGGTTGCCAGGTCCCCCCCAGTCGCCAGCCCTGCAGCCCTACCTGCCCCTTCCCCAGGGGCGAGGAGTACTGGGTGACCACCCTGGAAAGGTGTCACACCTTGCAGTAGAGGGGAGGCCAGCAGGCACCCCAAGGGGCAGAACATCTGCCCTCAAAGGTGGGCAGTACCCTCTGATGGAGGCTTGAGCCGCCTCCATCTGAGCGGCCAAAAGGGACATCTGGCTTTGTGCCCCAGAAGGGCACAGCCAGTACCCAGAACCACTGTCTCTCCCACCACCCTCCCTCCAAGGCAGGCTGTTCTCTCCTGCGCTCAGGCTGGGGACTTGCCTGTTTGGACAGTCTCCCAGCTCCTCCCGAACACAAACACCTCCAGAGAGGCAGTTAGACCAGACTCTTCAGCCAAATGCCCCGACCTCCTATCCTTCCCATCCCTGAGCTCGGCTGCCCCTTCTCCTTCACCCACTGGCCATGGTGAGAGCTAGAGTACCAGATTGCGGGAAGGAAGTTGCCCTGCCCAGCTCACCCTCCCCATCCTGTCTTTCTCCAGCCCTCCTCAGTTGTACAGCCAGGCCCGCCAGGTACTCCAGGGACCAGGAGGATAGATGCCAGGTGACTCCGTTTGCAGTATTAATGCCCCCTGGGCCTGGCAGGTAACTCTAGGCTAGAGAAAAACCCTTACCAAGTGCCTCAGTGGCAGGTCCTAGGCACGGCAGAGGGTCCAGCATGAGGATGCTGGTCATCTTGCTGCTGGTTGTCCCAGGTCCTGAGGGCAGGTGTGTTGAGGGTTGTTGGCAGAACTTCCTGGTCAGAAAGGGGCTGGACTGCTGTGTAAATCAACATGGTTAGTGGTTATACGTGGGCGTACCATACAACCCTGCTCTGTAATAGTGGTGGCATTATGGGGGAAACACATGTCCCACCCCCATGTGGACGTGCCTTTCCTTCTTGTCCATCAGCCTGGGAGGCAACCCCTACTGGGTACACCATCTCTGCCCTTGCCCTTCCTGGACCCTCTTGGCAGGGGGAGCAGGCAAGAGAGAACCCTGTGTTAGGAATTTGCCCCCCTTACACACACTACCAGCTATTCCGCGGGAGAAAGATGAGGCTTTCTGCTCCCGTAAAGATTTACAGCCTCGAAAACCCTGTACAGGGTCGTTATGAGTCGGAACCGACTCCACGGCACATAACAACAACAACAACACACACGCCTGGACTCTTGGTGGGGCTCTGTAGGATCAGCACTGGACTGTGAACCACAAGGTCCGCAATTCAAACCCACCAGATGCTCCTTGGAAACCCTATACAGGTCTGCTGTGAGTCAGAACCGACTCGTCAGCACTTAACAGCAACAACAAAACACACACTCCCAGAGCTGGGGCATGAAAGAGGGGCTTTCTGGTTCTGCTTCCCAGCACAGGGCTGAAGGCTTGGTTGCCTGTCACTGCCTACAGAGCTTACTCAGGCCTTCTCCCTACTTCTGGGCCTGGGGCCATCCCAAGTGCCGATTGTCCTTCTAGGGTCCCCAGGTACTGCCCTTTCCTCTGCTGCTCGGCTCCTCCCAGCTCTTCCCCTGGGGTGGGAGGCTCTGCCATTCCCATCAGTGTATAGTGAACCCCTCTCCTCAGCTCATTATAATGTTTGGATAGAACCTTGTTCTACGTCATTGCCATGCCTCAGTCTTGTTCTTAAGTCATTTGGGGGCAGGTGGGGGAAGGGAAAGAAAGCAAGAAGGTGGGGATGGGTGAGGTCTCGGGTCCTATGAGGCAGGGCCCTCTTCCCTCTTGTACATTGCTGAAGGGTCCTCCCTCAGCCTGGGGTCTTCCATCTGGCTAATCTAGCCCAGAATTAGAAGTTGATGGAGGGGATCCACTTGTTTCCAGCAGCTGACCAGGGGGAAGACCCAGGCTCCAGGCTCTAGGTTCCCGCCTCATTCTTGGGCCTGCAGTTTTTCCTCTTTTCCTACCTGGGGCCTGCTTGCCTGGGCTTCTCTAGGGATGGGTAGAAACCTTAGACCTGCCACCCCCCTGAGCCTGCCACCCTGTCCCCCAGAACCTGGACCCATAAACCCTGTTCTGGAGACCTGAGAAGTCTCGGGGGGGGGGTGTTCCATTTCCCCATAGTCCTCATCAGTGCCCTATTCCCAGAGAGCTCTTGTCTTAGCCTGATTTAGAAAGCCTCTCTTTCCCCTGTGGGTTAGGCATTGGGCTTCTAAGTGGTGGTGGTTCAAACCCACCAACTGCTCCAAGGGAGAAAGGTGAAACTGACTATTCCTGTAAAGATTCACAGCCTCGGAAACCCTGTACAGAGTCACGGTGAGTCGAAATTGACTAGATGACAGTGGGTTGGCAGTGAGTTTCTCCCCCAGGGGAGGCTTCCTGGTGGTGCAGTGGATAAGCACTCAGCTGTTAATTAACTGGAAGTTCTACTGTTCGAACCCACCAGCTACTCCATGGCAGAACAATGTGGCAATCTGTTTCTGTAAAAATTACAGCCTTGAAAACACTATGTGGGCAGTTCTCTGACCTACAGGGTCCATATGAGTTGGAATTGACAGTTTTGGTTTGGGGTACTCTCCCGCAGTGAGGCTCTGCAAGCCGATGGATTTGTTTTCTCAGTCAAGTCCAGGAAAGGACCAGAGCTATTTTGTTCCATTACCTAGGATTCTGCCACTGGGTATTCAAGACTGCCCCTTCCCTTGAAGAATCCATCAGAAAACATCCCAGCATCTCAGTTCAGGAATGTTGCCTAGCAAATAGGTAAGGGACTCTTAGAGCCCCCACCACCTCCCTCTTTAAAACCGAGACCCACAGAGGGAAAGGGACTTATCCAAGCAGATCCAGACCCAGAACACAGGCTTCCCAACTGCTGTCTGACTTTCTCCTGCCCTAGACTGCCAAGGGTCGCCAAGATCTGAGCCCCTCGCTGCTCCATGAGGTCCAACTGCCGTGCGACCCCTGTTGGCTACCCTGTTGGTTACTGCACCTACCTCACAAAAAACCTGCAGGTCTCCACGCAGGGAGCTTCAGCTTGAGGCAGAGACTAACAGGAAATGGCAGGGGCAGGCACGCCGATGGGTCGATGTACCTAGAGGGTGGAAGTCTGACGTATCTGGAGTAATGGGTGTGACTTCAGGGACAGGGGACTTTAAACACAAAGGGAAGACAATTTTTACACAGTAGCGACTCAACTTCTTGCATTTAATCCCCTAAAAATTTAGGGGGATTTTTATCCTAAAAGTCTCAAATAATGAGGATTGTTGTTGTTAAGTGCCGTTGAGTTGGTTCCAACTCATAGCAACCCTGTATAGGGTTTCTAAGAAGCAGGTGGTGAGTTGGAACTGCCGACCTTGTGGTTCGCAGTCCAGTGCGGATCCTGTAGCTCCACACCAGGAATCCTCTGGTGATAACATGGACTTATTGTCAAATTGATTCTGACACATGCGACCATATAGGACAGCTAGAAGTGACCCCATGGTGTTTCCAAAGCTCCCAAACTGCATGGTTGTGTCACCTTCTCCCAGATAAGGCAAGGGAGGGGGCAGTGCCCGAGGGGGGCAGCCAGACCCAGGCAGTAAAATTAATTCCATCCTTTTCCAGCTGTGTGGCCTGGGGTAAGTTATCCAACCTCTCTGAATCAACTTCCTCACCTGTAAAATGGGTATTTTAATAAAAGCATTAACCCCATAGGTTATTAGAAGCATGAAATTATATATATACAAAACTCTTGGCACGTTGCCTGATACTTCATGTACATCAGTTAACAATGATCATGATTATTGTTGGTCCATGGTGCAATCCTGGCATTGCAGTTGGCCCAGCCCAGTTGGTGAGTCCTAGAGTGAGTCCAGTCAGCTCTCCCTGACCCCATATGAGAGTAAAGTGACCACTGTACACATCACTGGATGCATCCCAGCCAGTGAGTGACCAAGCAATTGAAGTATGAGGTCAGCTAACCAAGGGTGAACCAACTAGCCGGAGGCCAGAGCAGATTGGGGATGTCCAGTCAACACCCTGAATGCTGAAGTTTATCCAAAGCTTTCCCCTCCTGCTGTGGGGTTTTGAGCTCCAATTCTTAGATGAAGAGACTGAGAAACAGCTTATGTGACAGTCCTCATTGTTGTGGGGTGCCATGGAGTTGGTTCTGAGGAGCCGCTGTTGAGTTTGAACTGCCGACTTTGTGGTTCAAACCGAACTTGCAGTCCAGCGCATTATCCTGCAACGCACTAGCATCCCACAACCAGTAAGTGAAGGACAATTCCAGACTCCTCGACCTTGGACCACCCTCCTCCCCAATAAACAAGCTTTCAAGTTTTTACTATCGATTTACTGAGCACTTATAAGACGGCCTGCTTTTATGCTATTAATAAAACACATAATACAGCCACAACTGTAAAGTAAACACTGCATTGTCATTATCCCCATTTTATAGGTGGGAAAATGGAGGCTCAGAGCAGTGATATGACTTGCCTGAGGTCATAGAACTAGTAGGTGGAGGAGCCAGCTTCAGAACCAGATTTCCCTGAAACTGAACCCGACATGTCTAACCACAGAGCTGTATGCCCCCCTTTGGTTTGAACTTGGGTTCTCTTGACCTGGGATTGTACCAGGATCACTGTGAGGTGGGTACATGCTGCATGCTGGCAGTTTCAGCTGTCCAAGCACATAGCCTGACTATAGTACCCACCCGCTTTGAGGGGCTGTACTGGGAGAGGCAGGATGGGTCAAGGAGCCACTGAGCAGGATACTGGGAAGCTAGCATGTGGGGTCTGGAGCCTGCAGAAGCATTTCATTCTGACCAGAGAGTTGCCTTTTCCTCTCTGTCTTCCAGTCTCACAGTCTTTCGGTCCCATCTTTCCCTGTCACACTGGGTCTGCCAATCAGCCTCTTTCTGTTTCTCTCCCATTCTTTTTGTGTACATCTAAGGGATTTTGGGGTTCCTATGAACACACTTTGAAAACCACTGAAGGAATGCCTGGACTCAGTGGAGTTTGAAGACCTGGGTTCAAATCCTACATCTACCTCTGCTCAGCCGTGATCTTGGTCAAGTCAGTCACTTGTCTACAATTCCTTTTCCATAGAATGCAAATAAAGTTGGCTTCCTCTTGGGATTGTTTGGGAAACTTAGTAACATAACTTTGCCCCGCACATAGTAGGTGGACAGCACAGTTCTCCAAGCCAAGTCTCCCCTCTCACCTGAGCCTTTTATGTGCATTCATAAGCTTTCTGTGCAACTCTGGGTGACAGACTGTTTCCTGATTTCTGTTTGTCAAATGAGGAAATAGAGGGACCGAGCTGTCTATTAAATATGCTCCATCAGGGTCACATCTGTGGAAAGTGGTAGAGCCAGAACTCATGTCTGGAAGTCTCATCATGACAGTGAGCACCTGCTGTATACATTGGGACTTTACACGTGTGATAATTCAACACCTGGAGATGTCTAAACCCCTTTGACAGAGGAGAAAACTGAGGCCCAAGAGTTTGCCTCCACCTCTGTGTGTCTCTTACCACTGTGAGCCCGCCCCAGTGTTTATTGTTGAATGATTAAGCCTCATGGGTTTTGAGCCAGGAGTGAGGGAACTTCTGGTAAGTCCACTCAGAGCTTAAACCCAGGCTTCAAACTTCTGCAGCCCCCACCTCCCTCCACCATGCCCCCCAAGCCGTCCCCAGGCCAGAAGCAGGGACTCAGCTGGCCAGATTAGGAGGTGGAATAGTGAGGCCCCTCTTCCTCCATTCCTGTGTTCCTCTGTGCTGGACCTGTGAGTGGACCTGTGAGTCATGCACAGATGTGTGTGTGTGAGTGTACCTATGAGCCTCAGTACAGGTGTTTATGTGGACCTGTACAGGTGTGTGTGTGTACCCGTGATCCTGTGTACAAATATGTGCATGTGTGTTGTACCTATGAGCCTGTATAAAATAGTGTGTGTGTACCTGTGAGCTGTGTACAGGTGTGTGTACAGCTGTGAGCCTGTGTACAGGTGTGTATATATAGCTGTGAGCATGTGTACAGGTGTGTGTGTACCTGTGAGATGTGTACAGGTATGTGTGTGTGGCTGTGAGTCTGTGTGCAGGTATGCATGTACCTGTGAGCCTGTGTACAGGTGTGAGTGTACCTGTGAGCTGTGTACAGGTGTACGTACGTGTACCTGTGAGCCTGTGTACAGGTGTGTGTGTACCTGTGAGCTGTGTACAGGTGTACGTA